CATACACACAGACACACTCACAGACACAGACACACACGCGCACACACAGACACACACACACAGACACACAGACACAGACACACGCGCGCACACACACTCACACACACACACACACACACACAGACACACACACACACACACGCGCGCGCACACAGGGGTTGCTATGATCTGAAACACACAGAGAATGAAGCCGTGAGGAAGCTGCACGTACCCCCTGTAGACTCTGAGCAGCAGCAGCAGAAAAAGAAACAAAGAACATTAAGAGTAAGAAGCAAAACACAGGCAAGGCTGGGAAAGCGAGCCAATCCTATGTTAGGTTCAAGAGTTATTTATGGCTAAAATCTCAAAGTCATAAATGACCATAAAACAATCGTACCAAACATTAGTGCACTCCTCATGAAAAATTTCAAAATAAATGACTTGAATAGCCTTTCTTTAACATTGAACACACTCTCAGTTATAAAGCATACATATAATAACATGTAACAGACATAGAACGAGACAAAATGTATTTAGATTTTTTGAACCCATCACAGGTTATTGGCTGGCATCTTCAGCAATCAGCATCCCCTCTGAAGCGTCCTATATACATCCTGCAGGGTGACCCACAGAGTGAAAGCTAGGTGAATGTGCTTTAACCTTTAACCCTGAAATATGGGAATTGTGCTCCAGACGAAACAGGAGTCTAGATTAAAGCTGGCTGCAGAAAGTGTCACCCTTATGGGGGGGCTCAAATATGAATTTTCACTGTTACGTCTTCTACTGGGTGGAACACCTTAACACTCGGCAGGATGTACTCAGCCCATGTACTTACTTTTCCAGCAGAGCCAGGGCAGTGGCTGGATTTACTCTCAGGTATTTGGATGTTGGCTGGCCATAGTCTGCCAAGTACGTTGACCAGTCCCACACCATGAAGAGGTCCAGGAGCTACAAGACACAGAAAGGTATTCAGTGTATCCTCAGAGTGCACGTGAAGATGGACGAGGGAGAATTTCAACAGCAACAGATGCCACACTTGCCAACCTTGAGACCTCAGAATTAGGGAGACATTCAAAAGGGCTTCTGGAGGGGGGGGTACATATACATATATATATATACAAAAAACTTGAATTTTACAATGTTGATTTATCAGATAAAATAAGTTAAATGACACTGTTATTATTGGCTGGCCGGAAACAGCGGGGGTGTCCAAATTCAGAGGCTGCATCCACCTGAGGACCCGGCCTTTGCAGTCTAAGTGGGCGGGTCCTCTGAAAGCCGGATAGGCCAGAAGTGAGCGACTGTGACGGTCTAGCCTTCAGAATTACGTCACGAGCTCTCTTGGGGGAGTGAAACTCTGCCGCCTGCTCCTCGCTGTCTAAAATATAACCAGACGCTGGCATAAACTCTCGACCGTCTCACACTTTGTTTAATCAGTTTTCTGTTTGACGTTTATTCAGCTGTGTGAAAACCCCGGAGGAGCCCACCCGAGGGATTAATAACGTTTTATTTAATCTAATCTAATAACTTTAATCTCAGCCAAACCGATTTACTCACGAACCAAAAAAACACTGAAAAAGGCCAAACAACAACATGTTTAAGTTATTTAAGTGACTTATATATCATGTTTAACCCGAGTAGCCAAAGACTGCGGGGGTTTGAGAACGATGTGCTGGGGGTTCGCTGTTCTCGCCGGCTCAGATATTTGAAGTTTACACGGCTACATTCTCACCTGAAAATGTGTTAAAAGTGTATTTTGTGACTCACAAAGAGTAATAAGAGTAATATTAAAACTAAGTGGCTGCTGCCATTGTTGGAAACTGGGCCGAGCTATGAATTCTGGGATATGGTTTTTCAATTTTGTTGTCCGGGTGGAAAATCGGGAGAAATTCAGGAGAATGGTGGCTCCAGGAGATTTTCGGGAGGAGCACTGAAATTCGGGATTCTCCCGGAAAAATCGTGAGGGTTGGCATGTATGACAGATGCATCGACTAACTTTTCCAATAATATATATATATAATAATTACGTAATTCAGAGAGGCGTTTCTCTTACAGTTCATTTTAGCTGAGTGCAGAAACTCATTTTACCAGCCAACATTAAATCATGAAGCTAGTGCTACATAATTACAGATAGTAAAAGGTATAAATCAAAAGTATGTTACTATTTTACACTGCTAGACAACTTGTGCTAATAAGTGTTGGTTATTGCAGATTACACTGTTGTCATAGTCTGAGACACAACACCAACTGTTTACTGATTTTCTTGCAATGAAAATTGAATGCAACTTGCGTTTTAGATAGATTTATATTCAAGTCTTGAATCTAATGTGCTGACAACAGGTCCAGTGGTACAGCACAGCCTTTTGTTGTTGGCTGACGTACATCAGAAGTGTTACTAAAAGTCAGAGACCAACATGTTTTTTCTGTGAAAGGAAACATGCAGTAGGATTTAACCGTTTCTAGCTGGCTAATGTTTTTGGCTACACGACTGTCGTGTTTCTATAGAGGCTCCTTCCCTGAC